TGGACAAGCAATGGATGAGCGGGGTGCGTGTTGTGCTTGTGCTTCGGCGATAAGAAACCTCAAATAGCTATTATTCAGGGATTAGAGTCGCACTGTAGTCATGGTAGCCTCCTTGGCCAAAGCGTCCTTGGTCACTGTGAGCGCTTTCTGGTCCTGGGCGATCGCGGCGGCCACCTGTTCGTACTTGGTGACTTGGGTGTACAGGTACGAGCAAAACGACGACGTCAGATCCAGGTTGGAGTTGGTGACGGAGAAAAGCGAGACGCGTGTGTGGGTGGGTGCGGCCTCGTTGGAGGCCTGCGAAGCGCTGAGAACCGAATCAAACGACGAAGACCGGCTGTCGTGGTTGAGCTTGCTCAGCTCCATGTGCTGGTCAAATGCCTCGAGGTGGTCCAGCATGCCGTCAGTCGTGCGATCGAGCATTGGCAGATCGTCGAGCTCCGAGGCCGAGTCCGACTCGGCGGTTGGCTGCTTGCGCTCCATCGAGTCGAGTGTCAGCGTCGACTGCGACGTCTGCCGCGCGTTGTCTTCGAGCGCTTCGACCGACGCACCTACTCGAGGTTCATTCCATCTCTTTTGGTGAGCCTCGTACCAGTAAAGCATGTTCGGCAAATCCGAAGCTTGACGACGTGCTGTTTGATGGAAAAGTGCCAGTCGCTAAGGCAGTGCGAACAGATGACCTACGCCGCATGAGACGCCGAAGGACAACACAAGGCGACGTACGTGGCCACACTTGCGGCAGTGTTTCTTGTGAACAAACCAACCAAACTTGCGGGCGCAGACCGCGCACCACCCAACAAGGTCCTTTTGCGTGAACGAAGTGACGGGCATGAGGAGACTCGTGTCGAGCGTCTTGAGGAACCGCTGCGTGGCAAAGTACTCTTCGAGATTGAGGACCTGCGCAAGTCGGCTTGTTCATTAAATTGCACCGAGTAGACGTACCCGAGACACTTGGCGCTGGGCGACGTCGCGCAGTATGTGGCTCTTGAGCATGCCATGCACCTGCGGCACGATAATGTGAAAGTGCTCGAGGATGCCGGGCGTCTTGGTCTCCAAGAAGACGTGCCCCGACTAAGTAATGCCGTAAGTTTGAGAATCGAGTAGTGGTCGCACCCGAACGAGTTGACTGCGCACGAGGCCCTTGAGCGGCGGACAACACGGCAGTTCGATCGAGTGGATGGTGCGGACCCAGCCCCGACGCAGCTCCATGGTCGACGAGTCCATGACTTCAATCAAGTCGTGAAACTAGTCGCAACGTTATCGTCGACCAAGTCGATACGAAAGAGTACCTCGACAAAACACGTGTCGCGGTTGGACATGAGCGCGGGAAACTCGGTCGCCATCCACGCGATGCCGCAGTAGTG